TATGAATTTTAGGTTTTGGTTCGGGGAGTTTTAAGGCTAAAGTGAGTTGTTAGAAGTGTAGGGCTTCCCATCACCTTTTGTGGATATAAAGTTCGTCGGAAACGGACTTAGATCGAGGAAGTTATGGTCTTCAGAATGTCTAAAGGTTTATGAGGGAACCCTAGTACGCGGGGAATACAACAAGTTACGCTTGGCGTACTAGCTGAGAAGCTAGTACGCGGGGCGTACCTCTGGTGTACGCTTAGCGTACTAGTGGGTATGAGTCGCGGGTCAGTAGCCTCGTACGCTGGGCGTACGAGGGGGAAATGGAAAACCCTAATTTTCGTGTTTGTACCCTATATAAGCTTTATGTTAGTCCCTTTGGGTTCATTTCTAAGCTAGCCTCCATACTCTAAAAACCCTAATTCGACTCCTAGCCCATGTTTGGTGATCTTGAGCTCTTGTGAGGTTTTGTGGATCTAGAAGGAGAAGGAGAAGCTTGAAGACTTTCTCTTTAAAGGAAATCTTTGAGATTCAACATTAGCAACTCCTTTTGGTGGCTTGGAAGATCCGCAGTCGGAGATTATTTGTGGGATCAGTTGTTGTTGGGGTGTTGTTTTGGTATTGACAATTCAGAGATCTGTCAGTTAGCAGCCAGTGATGATCGTCTGTATGTTTCAACAGTGCGAGGTGAGTTTTCCTCACTATACTTATGGGTCGAAGGCACTAAGGTCGGCCCTTTTGGATTGTTATCCTGGTTTATCGTATGATTGAGTGCTGTGGTGATCTGTTAGATCTATATCCTGGTAGATAGGATGATGCCATGCTTAGTGATCTGTTAGATCTTCCTGTTATCTGTTATGACTATATGTTTACCGGTTGCATGTGTTGATGTAGTGTGGTTGGGTTGAGACTATACTGCTTTGTGCTGCCAGTCAACAAACCCGATAATATTTATATCGGTATGTTATACGTATACTTATCTGTTATGTATATGTCGACATGGTTATGTGTGGTTAGGTTGAGGCGGTCCTGATTAGTGGTTAAGGCCAACAGACCCAAGGCGGCCCAGATAGACTGATGGTCGGTGGGGCGTACCAGTCAGGCCGACGGTCCAGATAGGCTGAAGGCCCGGTGAGGCGGTCCAGTCATGCTGAAGGTTCTGTGAGCGGTCCAGATAGTCTGTAGGCCGGTGGGGCGTTCCAGTCAGGCTGAAGGCTCTGTACGCATGCTGTTAGTTTGTATATGCTATCTGTTTTGTGTTGGTACTTTGGGGGAAACTCGCTAAGATTTGTGCTTACAGTTTGTGGTTTATGGTTTCAGGTACTTCAGAGAATCGTGGCAAGGCGAAAGCGTGACCGTACACATCCTGATTTTCTGTCATTGATCTTGGGAGGCACTGATTTTAAAATAATGTTTTGAGAACACTAATTTTGTAAACATTTTATTAGTAAAAGGGGTGTTTTGAAAAGTTTAAATTTTGTTGAATTTTTGGGGTGTTACACTAAAACCCACCAAACTTCAATATTTATGATTTTAACTTAAAGTTTTTACATAATAACTCTTTCTTCATCCATTTTATAACTTTTGTAGTCCCTTGTATTAATTGAGTCAACCATTTGGTCAATTCACGTTGCCAACTTGACACTTTTGACCATTTAACTTTCGAAATGTTATTATTTTCACTTGTAACTTTCTAAACTTTATATCAAATAATGATATGATTATTCTTGATGATTTAACAATATAAATCTTTTTTTTTGGTTGAAAACTTTTTAATATATTACATAAAAACATTTTAGTTATAATCGTACAACGAATAAGAAGACAAACGGGCAACAAGTTGCGCCGCTAAACCATTTTGTATGGTAAAACCAATTCTTTTGAGAATATTGTCTTAAATTTTAAATTTTAGTATGTTACAAATTACTCCAAAATATAACATCCAAGTGATTATATAACTTTAGTGTAGTAAGTATGGACGACAAAATTAAAAAGGTTTAATTTTTAAGAAGAATTGTATTTTCTTACAATCTAAATTGTTTTTCAGACACTAATGTCTTTTTAATCGAGCTTTAAATATTTTTCATCAATCGACATATTAACTTATATATGTTGTTGTGTGCATGAGTTTGAGCTTGCATTCAACAATATGGATGGGATTGGTTTCAAAATATGACCGAACCGTAATATAAAAATTCAAATAACCGAAAACCGATCCAATTTATATATCTGATTCATATACATTTCATAGCCAGTTTTGTTCTATGTTTAATTTCCTATGTATTAGGATGAGATTGGTTCTAAAAACAGACCGAACCGGCATGAACACAAAAAAAAAAAAAAAAAAAAAAAGAACCGAACTAATTTCAAGGTTCTAAAAAGTTCGTCATGGCTCCGAGGCTTGTACCTATTGCCAAACTTTACCAAAACGCTGTATTAACTCATATATGTGTATAAAAATAAATAATAGTTGAAAATACATATAAAAATATTAATTATATAGAAAATTGCCGCCTTTTATCACGTTTTACAAAAGACATAGCTCGCCAATGCTCAAAAAAGCTTGAGGCTTGACATTGCCGCCAAACCACGCCTTACGTTATTTAGAACCTTGACTAATTTACACATTTGGTTGTGATACGTTTTTAGGTCCGATTCAACTTGATTACGTCGTGCATTTTTCTTATCCTATTTCAAGAGCATGCATCTTTTCACAGTTTTTTTTTTTTTTTAAATATATATTTTTTGTTCTTTTTGAAAATTAGATACAACCATGCTGTATAGATATTATATTTGATTTATAACTGATGGGACATTACATTATTTTAGGCTATAAAGTTTTAAATAATGAGATTTTATTTAAAATTTTGAAGTGTATTGAATGGACTCATCATTATTTAATTTATTTTGAAATAAATATGGAAATAAGATGGTTGATGAGATCGATGTTAGAAACCTAGTGTGATAGACGTATTAACGTCTCAATTATATGTTTCGATATTGAAATGACATCTGAAAATTGACTTTATATCTTTTTGCAACGTCTGAAGTTGACTAAAAACCGTATCATAAAATGAAAAAGAATATCAAGTACTAGTATAAAATATCCAACCATCAAAGGTATCATCATGTGTTAAATACGATTAATGTATTCGTGTTCATATTGTAACCAGCCATTAGGTTGTTGAATGATATCCCAGGCTCTTCTGAAAATCACAACACGTTATATGTCCCGATCATCAAGAATCATTTTTTTTTCTTTAATTGATTTTTAATCATAACATGTTGATCGATTAATTATCAGATAAGTAAACCTTATAACAATAGGATTTAAAGATATGTTTTCTGTCAATAACTTTTAATCATTTGTCTGGAATCTGAATAATTTAACAAAAGTTGCTGATTTTACAAGAAAGAAAAATAAGTTGTATTGCAAAATAAATCTAACATGTTGCCACAATAGAAAAAAAGTGTTAATGCGTTTCATAATTTACCTAGTTATATATTGGAACGAGCAATTATTAATCAAACATCCATTATCTATATGTTACATTAATCTTGCCTAACTTTAATAAAATTAACTAGCATAAGTAGCTTATTTAAAACAAGAGAACGATCCACAAATAATGAGACAAATAGATAAAAAAATAAACGACGTTTTTAACATGCAATTTTTTAAAACTTCTAATTTTTGGATTTAAGAAAAAAAAAATTTCCATTGACTAATAGGAACGAGCTTTTATCTAAAACAAGAAACTTTAAATCCAAAATGTATCTCAAGTAGCTCTTTTATATTTTTATAATTGACCTAATTTCTTTTTTAATTAAATTATGTTTATATTTTATATTTTATAAAGATGTTTTTATATAATTTTAAATGGTTTAAAAGCTTTAAACTATTTTGTCGAATACTCATGTACAAATAAAAAAACTACAACTTTCGGCTGTCAGTTACCGGTTATTAGATTCACCTACTACCTATCAGTTATCATGTATCAGCTTTCAAATACATTTGCCGACCTAATTTTTCAGAAACAAGCAAAAGATTACCCAACTAACCACCAATTTTGTATGACCGACTATGAATTCATGGAAATTCCTATAAAATGATAAAAAAAAAACGACGTCAATTTGCATTTTAGGCGAGTATATATTATATGTAAATAAAAGGTGGTAATGAATACAAAAAGTAAGTCTCAAAGTCTAAGGATTGTTTGATAAAACTAATCTTTTGGTGTTTAATGATTCCAATTTCTTAGTGGTTCAAATAAGATATGTTTCATTAACCATTCAAATGTGTTTAATTCGTCGCCTGGATACCATTCAGATGTTGTTTAAAACACATTGAATGTGATAGATTCAGATGTATCTCTAAATCTCTAAATGGTTTCATTTAGATGTGTTATCATTCGGAGGTGTTTAATTCGTCCCGATACCATTCAGATGTTTAAAACACATTGAATGTGATAGATTGAGATGTATCTCTAAATCTCTAAATGGTTTCATTTAGATGTGTTATCAAACAAATCTAAACCTTTTTTACTCTCTTTAAGTGTTACCAAACAAATCTAAACCCTTTTTATTCTCTTTAAGTGTTGTCAAACAAATCTAAACCCCTTTTACTCTCTTTAAAATATTAGCGGAAAGGCAAAAGTTGATCACAAAAATCTCGCCACCAAGAAGGTAACCATATTGATTGCCATATCTAAGAATTTGGACAAATCTTGATTATAATTGACAAAAAATTTCAATATAAGATAAAACCGTACAAATTGAAAAAAGTTAAGGGTTATTATGTGATTATCCGGATAGATACATACAAACTTTTTAATATATGAAATATTGAAATGTAAGGAATCTTGAAGACACAAGTTTGAAAGGATTTGTAAATGGAAAGAAGTTAAAAAACGATACAATTCCACTCTATATTTTGTCACTACTACTTATATAAATCCAATCTCTCAATCGCAAATCTGACCCCCATGTTCTTCTTCTTCTTCTTCTTCTTCCTACTGCTCCTAACTCAAAGCATCTTCTCTTCTTTAATCTTTCTGTCGATCTCTTGATTCAAACCTCTTTCTTCTTCTTTGTTTCAAATCAAATCGAAAATGGGTACTGGTTGGCGAAGAGCTTTTTGCACAGCAATTCCTAGAAATTCATCTGATTCACCGGTGCTCGGAGACGTTCAACAGAATCCGGCTCCAAGTCCTAGAGCATCTGGGAAACTTGGGTTCTTCAAGAGTTCTGGTTCGAATCCATCTACCCCTCGATTACAATCGAATTGGGGCTTACGTTCCAGGAGCAATAACAGCAACAATGGCGATAATGCTACTGCTAATTCAAATGCATCAACTCCTCGATTGCGTTTGCGTCCCAAAACCAACAATAATGTTGATTCTGGTGATGATGCTGCTAAGTTTCATTCTTCTGTGATTGATAATCTCAATATCACTCCCAGATTAAGATGCAAAACCAACACGAAAAATCCAAAATCATCGTTACTCGGTTCCAATCCTTCGTCTCCGAGATCTCCTTTCTCGATCTTTAAAAATTCTTTGGGTTTTTCAAGAGTAAGTTCGTTTACATAATATCTATGTTGTGTATTTTTGGATAAGAGATTTGGTTTATTGACATTTGATTTCAAATGTGCAGAGTAACTGTGGATTGTGTTTGCAAAGTGTGAAAACTGGTCATAAAACGGCCATATTCACGGCGGAATGCTCACACACCTTCCATTTTCCATGTATATCAAATCATGTGAAGAAGGAAAATGTTCTCGCTTGCCCTATCTGTAAATCTACTTGGAGAGATGGTTCGTTTCTCGCCATCCACAAGCTTCAATCTAACGAAACCCAGAAATTAATCGATGATAAAAACGAAAATTCGATCACAACTCCGAGAGCCAAGACCGATTTGACGAGATCCCAAGAGAATTTCATCAAAGCAAAACCTTACGATGACGACGAGCCACTTCAAACACCGAGAGCTGGCGGTGGTGGTATTCTTCCGATACCGGAGGCGGCGGAGGAAGAAAATGAAGACATTGATGTTGATGAAGAGTTCAAAGGTTTCTTCGTAAATCCAGTTTCCTCATCGTCGGCTGATGAATTCCGAGGAGATTTTAAAAATGTGGAAGTGATGCTGATGTCAGAAGTCGCGGTAGTTTCTTCAAGTCAATCACACGAGACATACGCAGTCGTGTTGAAAGTGAAAGCTCCACCACCATCGCCGCCGGTCGGGGCGGCGCATATGCTGAACCAGTCTCGACGTGCACCTATTGACTTGGTAGCTGTTCTCGACGTGAGTGCAAGTATGGGAGGAGCCAAGCTTCAGATGCTAAAACGAGCTATGCGCTTAGTCATTTCTTCCCTCGGCTCGGCTGACCGGCTTTCAATCGTCGCCTTTTCAGCTTGCCCGAAACGGCTACTCCCTTTGAGAAGAATGAGTCCAAGAGGTCAACGGTCAGCTCGGCGTATCATCGATCAGCTCGCTTGTAGCCGGGGTACCTGCGCCGGTGAAGCTCTGAGAAAAGCCACTAAAGTTCTTGAAGACCGCCGGGAAAGAAACCCAGTCGCCAGTATCATTCTATTATCCGATGGTCATGAAGAGCACGTAAATGACAACATTAACAACAGTTCAAATCACCGGCAACCGGCTAGCCACGTGTCCACTACTCGTTTCGCTCATGTTGAAATACCGGTTAACACATTGGAGAAATCCGGTGGTGGGGTTGGTGGTGGGTTCAGCCATCAAAACCACGACCCGGCGGAGAATGCGTTTACAAAGTGTGTTGGCGGTTTGCTCAGCGTGGTGGCTCAGGATTTACGAGTTGAACTCGGTGTCGCTCCCGGTTCAGACCCTGCGGAGATCACCGCCGTGTATTCATGCAACGGTAAACCGACGGTGTTAAACTCCGGTTCTGTACGTTTCGGCGATCTATACGCCGAGGAAGAAAGGGAAGTGCTCGTTGAAATAAGGGTCCCACGGTCAAACACCGGGTCCCATCACGTCTTATCAGCTCGGTGTTGTTACAACGATCCGGCGACGCAAGAAGTGATCTACGGCGGAGAAAAGGCGTTGCTGGTGCCCAGAGCACAGACCGTCCGATCATCTTGTTCACCGAAGATCGAACGGCTGAGGAATCTCTTCATAGCCACACGAGCTGTGGCGGAGTCGCGACTTCTCGTGGAATATAATAAGCTGACGACGGCGCATCATCTGTTATCATCGGCGAGAGCTTTGTTGATGCAGTCGCCGGCGGCTGAAGAGTTCGTTAAAGGGTTGGAATCGGAGCTGGTGGATGTTCAGTGGAGAGTACAATATCAGCAGCAGATTGTACAACAACAAGGGATGATGGTGGATGAAAATGGGGAGCCGTTAACGCCGACGTCGGCTTGGAGGGCGGCTGAGAAGCTGGCTAAAGTTGCGGTGGCGAAGAAGTCGTTGAACAGAGTCAGCGATCTGCACGGCTTTGAAAATGCTAGGTTTTAGTTATTATTATTATTATTATTATTAGATTTTCTTTTTTTGTTTTTTAATATTAAAAAAAGCAAAATTGTTAATGAAGGATAGTGAATAAATTAATGTAGAAAAATATATATTTTGGACACAAATGGGATGGGTAAGGAATGGAGAGATGGGGCACGTGGAAGCATGTGATTTTCATAGTGAGAATGAATTTGTAAGGAAAGCTTTGTAGATTAACTCAAAAGTGTGTTAATGAAGTCGTGATTTCTTTTGTTTATTGTTGTTACATGTAATTTATTGCATAAACTTAAAGTAAAGTTATTTCTAGAATATACTGCAATTTTTGATGGATTTTGAGACAAGTTTGAGTCCATAAGGTATATTTTACGAGTATCTTTTATGACCCTACTATATCACGAATATAACTGTATAACGTATAATACAACTTCTTATATGACCCTGATATATCACGAATATAAGTGTGTAACGTATAATTCATGAACGACAATAATACTTTTATATTGTACTTCAAAGAGAATACATGTAATATATGAAAGTTGAGACTTGAGAATTCAATGCTAATAATATATTATCCTACCTTAGTCCTTCGAGTGTTAAATCAATGAACAATTTCCATCACATTCATGGTTCAGAAATTGCATAAAAAACCATAGTACTTTTTAGTTGGTTTATAAGGTGTTATCTTGTCACTTGAAAACCTTACACCATGTGGTGGAATGTGTTCAATTAAGAGATGGGCCTACAAACATGGATAGTTATTCATGAATACACAAGAAATTTATTAGACTAGTCATAGACGTTACATTTTTCTACTTTGATGATATTTATGTTGGAATAATGTAGGGATAACGTCATAAAAAACCTTAAGTTTCGCAGAAAATGTCGGTTTTACCCTTCGGCAGATTTTTGGTTCGTTTATACCGCAAACTTGTCATTTTTTTGTCGGTTTTGCCCTTATTACCTGCAATAGCAGGTTTCCAGGTTACTATGAATTATTTTTTGCGAAAAAACCCCTAAGTTTACAAATATTTTGCAAAAAAACCCTTAAGATTATAAACATATAAAATATAAATATATATTCAAAATTTGATAAAACTAAATAGTTTTCTACTGAATACGGTAACTTTTATATTAGTTTGATATAAACTTTTTATATTTAAATTTTAAAAAAAGTCTGTTTGTTTTTTTAACATCTGCGGGCTACTAAAATAAACTGATTTTTTTGGTTTGATATAAACAGACGTTTATATCAAACCAAAAAATAAAATTTTATATTTAAATTTTAAATTTTTAATGTTTTATATTGAAGTTTATAAAATAAACTTTTATATTGGTTTGATATAAACAGACGTTTTTTAATGTTGTTTTGAAAAGTTTAAGTATTAATTAATAAATATATTTAAATTTTGATAAAACTAGGTAACTTTTTTAAAATTTAGATATAAAAATAAAATTTACAGTACATAAAACTAAAAATATGTTTCAGTAGAAAACTATTTAGTTTTATAAAATTTTAAATATATATTTATATTTTATATGTTTATAATCTTAAGGGTTTTTTTGCAAAATATTTGTAGACTTAAGAGTTTTTTCGCAAAAAATAATTCATAGTAACCTGGAAACCTGCTATTGCAGGTAACAAGGGCAAAACTGACAAAAAAATGACAAGTTTGCGGTATAAACGAACCAAAAATCTGTCGAAGGGTAAAACCGACATTTTCTGCCAAACTTAAGGTTTTTTATGACATTATCCCAATAATGTATGTATTTAGGTTCAACATCACAATTATTATATATACATATGTTATGTACCATCGTCATCGCAAATTCATTAATTTTTATAAAATCAAGAAAACTATACTGCCAAATACGATAAATTTGTAACACAAATAAACTAAAGCTATCACCAACATGTCTACTATAATCTTTTGCTGATTTATGAAGTACAAGGTTATTTTTACATTGTCTATTTATATAATACATAAAATGTAACAACATGTAGTGTACAAAGTTCTTTGTAATGATTTGCATCAAAAGTATAATAGTACCACAAATAATGTGACAAAGTACTGTAAAAACTTTGTAAGGACTAATGTCATAGTGCAACATGTACTACATTTTTTGGACTATTCCAAAATTCACGGATGTAAAGTTACAACATATAATACACAAAAGACCGTATTATTTTTTGTATTGTACTTCAATTGGAGTAATGTAATGAGCAAAGTTAAGAATGTATTGCTGAGATATTGTCCCACATTAGTCACTTTAGTCCTTCACGTGTTCAATCAATCATCAATTTCCATCACATTCATGGTCCTCAAATTGCATAAAAAAACATATTACTTTTTAGTTGGGTTATAAGGTGTTTTCTTGGCAAAATGAAAACCTCACACCATGTGTTTTGGAATGTGATCTTTAAAGAGACGGGCCTACAAACATGAATGGGTGTTCATGAAAACACAAGAAACATGGTCAACAAATGGTACATTGGTACATGTCAATTTCAAGATTCTACATATATAAGGGGATAAGGGGGGAAATGTAAATCTCACCATGCGATCTCTTATGATACCAAGATTCATGTATGTACTACACAAAACTTTCATGGTATCAAACAAATGCCACATAGGAAATGACAATTCACCTGTGAAATTAATGTTATAAGGATTTAGAGGGTAAAACGGTAATTTAAGAAGGGATTGTTTTAGGGTGCAAAAGGCTTTAGCCCAAAACTAAATGACCAACCCAAAGGCTCGGCCTGACCCATATGAATCAGGTAGCCCATAGGTTTTGAGTGACTAATCCAAATATGTAATTAATTTTATTATATTAACGGATAAATTATGCAATTGATTTTATTATATTAGCGGATAAAAAGTTTTTGAATTTTAACAAAAAAATTCAAGATGAGTTTCTAATTGTCATTAATGTATTTGGATTACCTTCATGTAAGGTTTAGGCGCTGGTAGTCGTTCTAGACTACAGCGTCGGTCCTGAGAAATTAAATATTTTTAAAGGTCCATGACGAATCAGAAAAAATGGTCCTTATCATAAATAAAAATATATAATATAAAAAAGACAAAACTTCAAAAATGGTTCCTGTGGTTTTCGAAAATATCAAGTTTAGTCCCTAAGTTCAAAAAACCTCACAGATGGTCCCTGTGGTTTCAAAACTTTTAACATTTGGTCCTTCCGGCTCACTCTGTTAGCATTTCACCGTTAAGTAAGGGGCATTTTTGTCATTTCACTACCTAGGGACCATTTATGAGGTTTTCTATTACTTTTTTTTAAAATAAATAAATAAATAATATTTAATATGCAAGGGGTCCCACCCCCTCCCCCTCTCTCTCTCTCTCTCTCTCTCTCCGCCAAAATAATAAAGGACCATATTAACCCACCTCCACTGCCATCAACATTGCAGCCTTCCCCTTCCTTCTCGTCGTGAACCACCGGATGCCAAAATAACCGGGTAGCAGAGCTGCCACCCACCATTGGCAAAACCCACTTCACCACCGCCACCGCAGTGACTGTTGGAACACCCCTACTCTGACCATCTACCATCTGACATCGTCCATCGCTCTTCCCTCTCGTCATCCCCACTGAGCAGAAGCAAGAAGGAAGAAAGAAAGGCAACCTGATGAATCAATGAATCGAGTTATGAATTAATCAGAGTATGAATTCAAGTATGAATGTGAGATTTGAACACACACTGTAAATATGATCTGTTATGCTCTATTACGCTTTCGAATTCTTTACAGAGTAAAAGAGACAAGTCTGTAAAGTTCTTATCTACCTCTAGTAAATAACCCTATATATAGGGAACTGAAAGCGTACAAAAAATATACTAAGGCTTTGACACTAACGCTTCGAACATAAGCGCCTTAGTAAAATACATTACAAACTATTCGAAGAGTACAAAACATACTTCGACTAATTACAACATTTCGACCCTTACAATCTCCCCCTTTGTAATAATAGTCGAAGTCTTCAATTTGTAAGAAGAGTGATGGAATACAACAACACCCTTCGAATCTCTGTATACCAAGAGATAATCTTTTTCAACTCTTTCTTATCTCCTTCATTATTCTTCTTGCAATGATTCATACGAACAATTAAAGAGATAATCTTTTTCAACTCTTTCTTATCTCCTTCATTATTCTTCTTGCAATGATTCATACGAACAATTAAGTTCGTATATTGAGAAGTAGAATATCTCTCAACTTCACTTGCTTGAAATAAAAACCTTTTAGACTTTCCAGCTTTGTCTTTTCCTGCGAAGACCAAACCAAAAGGCTTCAGGAAAATTTCACCATCAGCATACTTCTTCAAATCTGCCTGTGTCTTCGAAGGAGCCATTGGAGCTGTTATTTCCATTCCTTTAGCCGTAGCTAACTCCATATCAGTAAGTGCCAAACACTCATAGTAATTTTCGATAAAATTTTTGATGTGAGCAACTCCAAGCTTGAATTCTTCTGGTTCTGTGTTTTGAAGGAATGAGAAGGATTTATCTTTCAAAAGTAATGCAACTTTAATGAGATCATACAAGTTCATTAATGGAAAATCTGCAACAGTGAATTCGCAAATTTTTCCATCTGCCCTGGCAACCACGTATTTAAAATTTTGGACTGTGTTTTCGAAAACCACATCCCTTTTCATACTTATCACCTTCTTGATTTTGATTAAAGACCACACTTCTTCAGGGGCTTTACCAAGAACAGCATGAAAACAAATTTTCATGTGTGTACCTTCATCTTTCTCTTTAAAATTACCTTCGGCCTTGAACTGAGGCATAATAAACATCATTTCGTTTATCGGGAAATCCAACTGGCTTGCATCAGTATTTGTAACCAAATAGATTTGTTTTGGTTTCTTTTCAAACAAATACATGTGATTGAATGCAACCTTGGCCTCGATTGTTTCGTAGTTATAGTGTTTCGTTGGATCCCCTTTATTCATTCCCTTCGGATCATTAGCACGCTGAGCCATTATACTTTGAACTATTCTGAGCTTTTCTATTTCGGCTTCAGCTTCAGCTTCAGCCTTCTTTTCTTCTTTTGACTTTTCCACAAGAATTGATTTCCCTTTATCTTTCATGGCTGGATTATCAATTGTTTCTTTTAGAATCGAACCACTTCCACCAGTCTCCGAAGATTTACCAATTACAATCCCTTTCGAAAAAGTTTTTGTAATGGGTAATGTTGTTACAACTGTTGAAGTCACCATCTCAGCCGAAACTATTACTGGCTTTGTT